CTTTGAAAAGTTGGAAATTTGGAGCTAGGCGCCTGCAAAAGCTGAAGCTTTTCCATCATCCTCACAGCCCACGTGATGGGCGGAAAAAAAAAAAATGTTCAGCAAATAAGGAATTGGACAAATGCACCAAGGCCACTTCTTCCTACCCAAGGTCTGAGGCATTTTTTATAATATTCCAAGGTCCCAACTTTCCAAGGTCCCAAGGTCTCCAAAAGAGCTTCCAAAGTCCCAAGGTGTACTCAATGTCAAAATGCTATTCACAAATCCAAGGTCCAAGGTCTTAGCATATTTTTCACACTATCTCCAAAGTCCAAGGTAATACTCCCAAGGTCTTCAAAAGATTTTTCAAAATGCCCAAGGTCTCAAGGTGTCTCCTAAGATGTCTTGAAGTGTTCAAAAAATTAGTCCTCGGACTACCGAGGTCTACAAAGAAACTCCTCGGGCTACCGAGGTGTTCAAAAAATTAGTCCTAGTCCTCGGACTGCCGAGGTCTACAAAGAAACTCCTCGGACTACCGAGGTGTTAAAAAAATTAGTCCTCGGACTACCGAGGTCTACAAAGAAACTCCTCGGGCTACCGAGGTGTTCAAAAAATTAGTCCTCGGACTATCGAGGTCTACGAAGAAGCTCCTTGGCCTACCAAGATGTTCAAAAAAATTAATCCTCGGACTACCGAGGTAAATATCAACGCTACTGACGTCAGTGAATGATAACTAGCACCAAAGACATGAAGAAATAATAACATGGTAAGAAAAAATTACCAGGGTCTGAGGACTTTCGAAGGCCGACGTCGAGCGTGAAAAATGGATGCAATCCCAAATGCTTGATTCCCTCCCCCTCTCCTTCTCTCTCTCTCTATCTCTCTCTCTCCAGAAAAGATCAAGTTAAAAGTGAGAAGAGAAATGAGAATGAGGCATTTTATAGCAAACTGCTTGACTGTCTGTCTGTGCAACTGTACTAGAAAGTCGCTAACTGCAGATATTCATCTGTAAATGTCTGACCGCTTATTTTTTGTACGCGTAAAAATTACCGCGTACATAAAATGGGGGGGCAAGTGATATGGGGAAAAAATATACATTTATTGGGCGACACGTGGCTCGGGAGAATAAAGACACGTGTACTCCGAAGACCATTATTTTCCAAGGTCCAGGCTGAAGCCCAACCTCAAGATAGGCCTAAGGATCCGAGGAGTCTCACCTTAGGCCCAAGCGCTTGAGAAATCTCACTTTAGGCCCAATGTCTAAATATAGTCCAACTGGTGGACCATAGTCCACTAAGCCAATGGGCTGGGAAGTCCTCCGTCTGCATAGGGAAGACCTAGGTCATCCTACCTCTATAAAAGGATGGCCTAGGTCAAGGTAAAGGAGATTCTCTTCTCTACGCAATTTACAGCCACCATTTGAAAAACCTAACACCTATTCTAACTTAGGCATCGGAGGGTCTACCCCTGGGGACAACCCCGGAGTTCTGTTTTGCAGGCATCGGAGCAAAGGAGACGACTTCAGGAGGACGTCGGAGCATTAATCGTCGCCACGTGTCCACTGACTAACGTCAGGTAATTCTTGTATCATCAATCAAGAACACAACCGCCGGTGCTAAAAGCGGACTCCGATGCCACGGTAGAGACGGGAATCGCCAATACATCCTGATGGGTCTACTTCTGGATCCGGAGTAAACCGGTGGTTGTGAGCTCAGATCTGCTTGAACCGCCTTGAAACCGTCTCTAGACCGCAAGAATATCTGCAAAAACTCAACGCCGGAGGTGTTTCCGGCGTAGAGCCTCCGACGCTCAAGTCAGTATCCAAAGGATGAAGAAGGGCTGCGCAGCAGCTATAGGGGAAGTGGGAATCAATGAGAGTTAGGGTTTTAGGGTTACCACACCTCCTTTATATAGGAGTGAATATTTACCTGGAGTACCCAGAATGTCCCAGTCGGTGGACCTATAAGGTCCAAAATGCCCCGGTCGATCCGTCTTCCCCTAATGCTGAGTCATCACAAGATCCGTTCTTATCCTTTGTGGTATATGGAACTTTAAGTATAGTGCAAGTGTGATGAGTCGTCATCACATCTGTGCTAGTCGAGGTATGCGAGGTCGACTTCGAGAGATAGGATGTCGACTTCGTGGATATGCGAGGATTCGGAGGCTACGCTTGACTATTCCTTAGTGGCGAGGTCGTCTTGGTTCAGTCGACTGTCGGAAGTCGACTTAGGGTGTCAGGATGCTTGGGTGCTGTACTCTTGCTGTTACTCTTTCATCGGTGTCGACTAGTGAAAGTCGATGTACTGAAGTCGACTTGCAAGAGTCGACTAGACCAATATCTGCTTCTTCTTAGTTGCTCTTGGCAGAACCGACCCTAGAGAAGTCGATTTAGGAATGTCGACGGAGCCATGTCGACTGCGGATAGTTTAAGTGGTTCACTGGTTAAGTAGGGAGCTTCTGGATCGGGTTATCCTTATGTGGCTATATCACATCCCGTGCAAAACAAGAGAGGATGGGAAATCTACTTTGGTTGAGTTTCCACCACCTCAAAATGTCAAAGTCATCTTTCTCGACAACAAGAACACTCTCTTTCAAGTAAACATCCAAGTCACACTTGCTTTCTACTTCTCCACTCTCTATCTTGTGCCTTTTGAACTTATCCCCCAAGTGATATCTAGATTTATTCTTTGAAAGATCGGGTTGAGAAGATTCATTTAAACTAGAAACTCGATTCATCGATTGAGTGGACGTGGCACAATGAGGTTGATAAATCAACTTATAAGCTTCAAACAACTCATGAATACTCCCCTTCACACTCTTGAAGATCTCCGAACCATTCTTTTCTCCGTGCTCTTCACAAATTCAAGGAACTTCAACTTGTAGCGAGGATCAAGAAAAACCGCCACATAAATAAGATGGTTCATATTTTTTGGATCCCCCCAATATTTGTTGTATTTTGATTTCATTTTTTCACCCATTGCTTTGATATCAAGATCATTGCTAGCAATCCATTCTCTTAACAAGCAATTAACCGAACTAATTTCATGATAAAATTCATTCGAGGTGACATAAGATGTGCCCGAAATCCTCAATGTTAGCTCGTAGAAGTGGGATAAAATATCAACCATCCTTCTAGCATGTTCCCAATCAACAATTGAGGGTGGTCCATGCTTGAGCTCTAGTTTAAAGAAAGGATCTTTTGTTTTATACCTCTCAAATGCCCTCTCAAACTTTTGTGCAACATTTAACATCAAGTAAGTGGAGTTCCACCTAGTGCTCACATCTAAGCATAACAAGCTTTTACTTACAATGCCTTCATCATCACAACATTCTCGAAATTTTGCCAATCTAGCCGGAGATTGTTTCACAAATCGAACCGCATGACGAATCTTCTTAATGGAATACTTAATTTCATTTATTCCGTCCACCACTACCAAATTGATAATATGAGAAATGGACCTCATATGAAGAAACATGCCTTTCACAATAGCACAACCCCGAGAAGTCAATCTACTTTTCAAATATGTAAGACAAGTATCACTAGAAGATGCATTATCAACCGTAATAGAAAACACCTTTGAGATTCCCCAATCACACAAACAACCATCTATTTGCCTTCCAAAATCCTCACCCTTCTGACTCTCAATGGGACAAAAGTTGATGATCTTTTTATTCATGTTCCATTCTTCATCAATGTAGTGGGCAGTGATACACACATAATTAATCTTTTGCACGGAAGTCCAAGTATCTGTGGTCATAGAAATTGTTTTTCCGGACCTTTTGAAGTAATTTCTCAATTTTAACTTCTCATTTAGGTATAATTGATAACAATTACGTGACACAGTCCAACGAGATGGAATTTTAAACCTAGGTTGTGCAATCGACATGAAATTTTTGAATCCGTCACCATCCACAAACCGAAATGGAAGCTCATCAACAATGACCATTCTAGCTAGCTTTGACCTAATGGCTTCTTGATCAAATTTCCAACTAATTAAACCTCCTGCCATTTCATCACCCTCAGCTATTGATTGCAAAACCAATTTCGATTGTTTTTTCTCAGTCACATTCGGATTACTTTTGCAAACAGACATATGGTGAAGAAGCGAAGACGTACCATTCCTTCGAGTATCACACCTATACAGTTTCTCGCAATGTTTGCATTTGGCTCTCGATATACCGTCGACTACCAACTCCTCGAAGTGCTGCCAAACTATGGACCTTCTCGAATTACCACCAGCAATCCCAGTACCTGCAGTAGCAGCAGCTGCATCATTTGAACTCCCTGGACGGCTCCTTTTCAATTTTGAGGTCCGACTCTGACTTGTAGCCGATTCATCATTCGTCGATGGTGGACCTTCTGCCGGTGAATCTTCCGCCATCTCTTCAACAACAAAGTTTCAAAAAAAAAAACAAACTGTAGTAAGTATCAAAATCGGGGCTAAAATTAGGACGAAGAAAAATCGGGGCTAAAAAACCAAACAGCAGAATGTGATTGAGAAAAGAAAACAGCAGCTAAAATTTTTACTAAAATCGGGGCTAAAAAACAAACAACAGCTGCATCACATTTTTACTAACAATATTATATAAAATAAATATCAAAATCGGGGCTAAATTTAGGACGAAATGAGAAAAGAAAATAAGAACTCAGAGAATGTGATTGACCTAAATTAACGAGCGACCGCGGACAGCTGAAGGGTGGGAGACGGAGATCGTGGTTGAGAACGCCGGTGGGTGAGCGCGGTTGAGAGCGTCGGTGACGGAGATCGATTCGATTGAGAGTGAAAACTGAAAAGGTGCAGAGACGGGGTAGAGACAGGGAGTGAAAATGAGTTGCGGCGTCTGCGAGAGAGTGAGAAAACTGAGAATGAGATTTAGCCTAGGGCAACTGAAATGTAAAATAAAATAATTAATAAAATGGCCCTTTATTATTTTCGGTGCGGTTCGGTTAAAACCGCACCTTTCGGACACAAAGCCGAATTGCACCGAAATTTTTTCGGTTTTCATAAAACCAAACCGAACCGTAACCGAATACTCTGAAAATCGAACCGAACCGCACCGAACGCATCGGTTCAGTTCGGTTTTTCGGTTTCGGCTCGGTTTTGCTCACCCCTAACAGTTGTTTTGCCAAAATGCCTTCTTATATATTAATTCCAAACATGAGCTTAGTGGTAGGCTCGCACGTTTCGGATGTTGATATGACAAAAATTTATGCTTCATGTGGTTTGTATATTAATTTTTTTGCTTTGAAATTAGACTTGGTATAGACATAAATGACTTTTTTCAAACATAGTAATTATACATTTAATTTTGTTATTTTTTTTCTCTTAGTATAAATTTCCTTCTTAATTTGAGCAAGTAACAATCTTACCATCTTATAATTTTCTCTCATATTTCTCTCCTAAATTACGATTTATAAATCACTTTCTGCACTGTCTATTCCTCTCTTTTTTTTTTCATTAATTAGTCCATCAAATTAAATACTTTTGTTTTAGCAATAACTTTTATAATATATTTTTTAACTCAACACCCGTGTAGTACACGGGTATTGTATTAGTGTCATTTAATGCAAAATACTCGACAAACTTCAATTATAAACATATTTTCAAATAAATTACTTGAAAAACGGATTCTCAGAATCCGTTTTTCAGTCAAGTTGGCTCCGTTCGGTTGGCTCCATAGCAGGACTGTGAGGACACATATTTAGAGTGACTATATGAGACTTAATCTTAGCTATTAGATATGTATCAAGATGTTGGCTAAGTTTTATTTTTTTTTTAATTATTTAAATAATATTTTGATTATTTGACCATTGATCGTTGATTCTGGACCGTTGACTTCCTGCGTTGGTCGTTGACTTCGACGTTGACCTTAGTATACATTATGTATGAAATAAATATACATTCAGCATTATGCATTTAATATGAACTAAATATAAATTTGGTATGAAAAAAGCAATTGTATTCTAAAACCTATAAAATGTGGTATCTATTTATAAAAAATGAACAATACAAATTTCGGTTTATTTATTTTTTTTTTAATAATTTAACATAAAAAATATCAATTATCGTTTATTTTATCTAAAAAATACACTTGTCCAATAGAATGAGACAAATGTCCCATTTCCAAACTCGATCACGACTCAAGGTCATATTGTGACCTGGGTTACATTTTCCTTGATTCTTTCTTTTTATTTTTATTTTTTGGTCCGTTTCCCAGTGACTAGGGGTGAGCAAAACCGAGCCGAAACTGAAAAACCGAACCGAACCGATGCGTTCGGTGCGGTTCGGTTCGGTTTTCAGAGTATTCGGTTACGGTTCGGTTTGTTTTTATGAAAACCGAAAAAATTTCGGTGCGATTCGGTTTTGTGTCCGAAAGGTGCGGTTTTAACCGAACCGCACCGAAAATAATAAAGGGTCATTTTATTAATTATTTTATATTACATTTCAGTTGCCCTAGGCTAAATCTCATTCTCAGTTTTCTCACTCTCTCGCAGACGCCGCAACTCATTTTCACTCCCTGTCTCTACCCCGTCTCTGCATCTTTTCAGTTTTCACTCTCAATCGAATCGATCTCCGTCACCAACGCTCTCAACCGCGCTCACCCACCGGAGTTCTCAACCACGATCTCCGTCTCCCACCCTTCAGTTGTCCGCGGTCGCTCGTTAATTTAGGTCAATCACATTCTCTGAGTTCTTATTTTCTTTTCTCATTTCATCCTAAATTTAACCCCGATTGTGATATTTATTTTATATAATATTGTTAGTAAAAATGTGATGAAGCTGTTGTTTGTTTTTTAACCCCGATTTTAGCTGTTGTTTTCTTTTCTCAATCACATTCTGCTGTTTGTTTTTTAGCCACGATTTTTCTTCGTCCTAATTTTAGCCCCGATTTTGATACTTACTACAATTTGTTTTTTTTTTCGAAACTTTGTTGTTGAAGAGATGGCGGAAGATTCACCGGCAGGAGGTCCACCATCGACGAATGATGAATCGGCTACAAGTCAGAGTCAGACCTCAAAATTGAAAAGGAGCCGTCCAGGGAGTTCAAATGATGCAACTACTGCTACTGCAGGTACTGGGATTGCTGGTGGTAATTCGAGAAGGTCCATAGTTTGGGAGCACTTCGAGGAGTTGGTAGTCGACGGTATATCGAGAGCAAAATGCAAACATTGCGAGAAACTGTATAGGTGTGATACTCGAAGGAATGGTACGTCTTCGCTTCTTCACCATATGTCTGTTTGCAAAAGTAATCCGAATGTGACTGAGAAAAAACAATAGAAATTGGTTTTGCAATCAATAGCTGAGGGTGATGAAATGGCAGGAGGTTTAATTAGTTGGAAATTTTATCAAGAAGCCATTAGGTCAAAGCTAGCTAGAATGGTCATTGTTGATGAGCTTCCATTTCGGTTTGTGGATGGTGACGGATTCAAAAATTTCATGTCGGTTGCACAACCTAGGTTTAAAATTCCATCTCGTTGGACTGTGTCACGAGATTGTTATCAATTATACCTAGATGAGAAGTTAAAATTAAGAAATTACTTCAAAAGTTCTGGAAAAACAATTTCTATAACCACAGATACTTGGACTTCCGTGCAAAAGATTAATTATATGTGTATCACTGCCCACTACATTGATGAAGATGGAACATGAATAAAAAGATCATCAACTTTTGTCCCATTGAGAGTCACAAGGGTGAGGATTTAGGAAGGTAAATAGATGGTTGTTTGCGTGATTGGGGAATCTCAAAGGTGTTTTCTATTACGGTTGATAATGCATCTTTTAATGATACTTGTCTTACATATTTGAAAAGTAGATTGACTTCTCGGGGTTGTGCTTTTGTGAAAGGCAAGTTTCTTCATATGAGGTGCATTGCTCATATTATCAATTTGGTAGTGGTGGACGGAATAAATGAAATTAAGTATTCCATTAAGAAGATTCGTCATGCGGTTCGATTTGTGAAATAATCTCCGGCTAGATTGGCAAAATTTCGAGAATGTTGTGATGATGAAGGCATTGTAAGTAAAAGCTTGTTATGCTTAGATGTGAGCACTAGGTGGAACTCCACTTACTTGATGTTAAATGTTGCACAAAAGTTTGAGAGGGCATTTGAGAGGTATGAAACAAAAGATCCTTTCTTTAAACTAGAGCTCGAGCATGGACCAACCTCAATTGTTGATTGGGAACATGCTAGAAGGATGGTTGATATTTTATCCCACTTCTACGAGCTAACATTGAGGATTTCGGGCACATCTTATGTCACTTCGAATGAATTTTATCATGAAATTAGTTTGGTTAATTGCTTGTTAAGAGAATGGATTGCTAGCAATTATCTTGATATCAAAGCAATGGGTGAAAAAATAAAATCAAAATACAACAAATATTGGGGGGATCCAAAAAATATGAACCATCTTATTTATGTGGCAGTTTTTCTTGATCCTCGCTACAAGTTGGAGTTCCTTGAGTATGCACTTTGTGAAGAGCACGGAGAAAAGAATGGTTCGGAGATCTTCAAGAGTGTGAAGGGGAGTGTTCATGAGTTGTTTGAAGCTTATAAGTTGATTTATCAACCTCATTGTGCCACGTCCACTCAATCGATGAATCGAGTTTCAAGTTTAAATGAATCTTCTCAACCCGATCTTTCAAAGAATAAATCTAGATATCACTTGGGGGATAAGTTCAAAAGGCACAAGATAGAGAGTGGAGAAGTAGAAAGCAAGTGTGACTTGGATGTTTACTTGAAAGAGAGTGTTCTTGTTGTCGAGAAAGATGACTTTGACATTTTGAGGTGGTGGAAACTCAACCAAAGTAGATTTCCCATCCTCTCTTGTTTTGCACGGTATGTATTGGCGATTCCCGTCTATACTGTGGCATCGGAGTCCGCTTTTAGCACCGGCGGTCGTGTTCTTGATGATTATAGGAGTTCTTTAACTCCTACAATTGTGGAGGCTCTTATATGTGCTCAAGATTGGTTGAGAAAAAAGAAGTCCAAGTGGACCAAGTCCGTTGAAGAAAGCCTAGAAGATGTTGCAAAAATAGAAGAAGGTACTCTAATGTAATGTGTTCTAATTTGTTGTGTTATATATTAGTTGCAAATCTTGACTAACTTTTCTAATTTATTTTTTATAATAATAGCTTTCCAAAGTGTTGGGATTAGCGATGTCCATGACAATGAGAACACAATGGAGGAATAGGAATGCAAGGTGTTTTCTATGTTTTTGTTTCATTTTATAAATTCTATAATTTTATTTTTATTTTTTTTTGTCTATTTTCTTGTATTGCAAATTTGCTGTTTCAGTTTTGACTTTGGAGGTTTTTTTTTTATGATATCTGCTCTGTTTTTCTTCTATATTTCAATGGCAGGTGGCAGGTTTTTTGTTTGCAACAGCCAGCAGGGGCTGTTATGATGCAGTGGGGTTGTTCTGTAACTTCTATTATGCTGTGGGGCTGTTATTGTTATGTTATGGATATTGTGTAATGTTTTGAGTGTTAGAACACTAGTGTTTATGTAATGTTATGCACTTATGCTGCTACTGTTTGACAATTGACATTGTTTTGAGTGTTGGACACTTGGAGTCTTGGACTTATGTAATGTTATGTTGTGCTGTTCTT